ATTTAAGATTTCTTGCATATATAAAAATCAAAGAAGGTTCGAGAAGTTGGGTCGGGACTGGCGCCAAAGAGTCAGAGCATGTTTGTTTATAGAAATTTTCAAAAAGCTTTCATCATTTTAACTCAATCACTTTTTTTAACTCAACTTTAACTTCACCCCACTATCATCAATATTATCAATATAATTAAATAATATCAATCAATCATTCATACACACTACATCAACCTTAATTCATTATTCATCCACTCATTTTATTTTAACTCACCATCATTTCAAATCATCTCTCTCTTACTTTTACATCAAATCAATTTTAATTATTTTATTTTAAATATTATTTTATTATATCCACTAACAGCTAATCATACCACATTTTTTCAAAATTAACCAAATAAAACCAAAAAATCCAAACAAAACAAAAAATTTCTATAAACAAACAGGTTCTAAACCTCGATAGGACTTTGTTTACTGAGATAAATAGTGATTGGCAAGGCAATGAAACTTCCACATAAATCATCATTACAAAAAAATTGTTATATTCCAACGAAAAATCTTATGGTAATATATTCCAATGAAAATTCCATTAAAATGATTACAACGTAATTCCAACGAAAATATTCCATTGGAATGTGTTTTTCATTGGAAATTTAATTAGATGGAATTTGATGATTCCAACGGCTATATTTCCAACGGATTTTTACTATAGAAATTTCCGTTGGAATTTTTATTTCCACCCTCGTCAGAAAATCTACCATTAGAATCGTCAGAATCCAAAGAAAATTCCAATAGAAAACTCATTCCAACGGAATATGTTTGTTAGAATTTCCGTTGGAATCCATTGAAAAATTTCAACGAAAATAATAGCATTGAAAAATATCCATTGGAATTGCCGTTGGAATTCTATTTGAATATATATTCGTTGGAATTTCATCATTTTCTTGTAGTGCATACATGCAATTAACATGATTTTATAAATGTTTGGTGTATTTACATTTTTTTTTATTGTTAAATGTAAATATATATATATATATATATATATCAAAATTGAGTTCAGACAACTTGTAAACGGCATACAAAAGCGTAATGGGCAACCACAAGTCGGTTCCTCACGATATAAAGAAATACGAGGCCAACCACAAGTCGGTTGGTCACTCAAAAGTCTCGAGAAAAGGATAGCAAAACAGTCCCATGGGAGCTCGGGAGCTCGTCATGTTCTTCGCATCAAACATTGGCTTCGGCCTTGCATATTAACACTCGTTGTATCCAGGGCGTAGTGCCGCTAGACCCAGGCTAGCGGCGCTAAGACGGACGTGGCACAAGAACTCATGCCATTTAGCGCGCGCGGAAAGTCGAGGTTACCGCCGCTAGGCTTAGCTAGCGGCGCTAAGAATGACGTGGTGTAGCGACGCTACCCGGCGTTAGCGTCGCTAGGCACAAAGGTGCATTAGGCACAGAAGTCCGCTAGGTATCGCAGCGGCGCTAGACCAGCGACGTTAGCGGCGCTAACCTCAGTTTGGTGTATTTACATTAGTATTCTTTTGGCTACTAGCCCAAAAGATGCCCCCAAAAAGAAAAAAAATAAATAAAATTGTGATGACTCAAGTCTTTAGGCCCCAAAAGGGGCAATTAATACCTAATCGAATTGAGTTGTCCACAAGGCTTGTAAATTCTAGAGAAATAATTACGAAAAGTAAATCATACATACAAAAAGTTATATGATATAGTTGATATATTTATTCATTAAACTGCTTAACAATAGGAATTTGATCATATTTTGAACAAATTAAAAAATAGTGATATCTTGACATCTGGTTAATAGCCTGAGAATTGTGAATATCTTGATGTTCACTTTAAAACAAAGGAAAAAAAAAATGATGACATGCTTTTAAAATATTGAATGTCTCTGGATCTTTCCAGACTTCTGTATCTGTAATATACTAATATATAACCAAATCTAAATAAGATATTTGATAGCTTGTGGACGTGTCAACTGTCAACTAATGGGCCTACACACAACACAAAACAAAGCCATTATTATATTTTCTTCGGCCAAAAAAGAAAAACACACAATCTATTTTGTTCATTCGATTGATCACTTGGTCCTCAAATATGATTGATTCATAGTCAATTAGTTATATGTGATGTTCACAATGGTAATAATAAACTAATATATACATGCAATATTGTTGTTAAATGATATACAAAATTAAATTGTGTGGATGTGAATTCAAAAGGCATTACTATTCACCGCTCTCTATTATTAGTTATTGTCCTTTGGACAATTTTGCTTTTGGCATTTTTTTTTTCAAAAAGTAAAAAAATAAAAATATTGTTGTCCGGCCACCGAAACCGGACGGCCCAAATGGCGTCCGGCCCCGATGGCCGGTCGTGACCGGTCCGACCAGTCCTACTGGCCGGACACCATTTTTTTTTTCTTTTTTTTTTTTGAAAATAATATTATTATAAAATATTATGTTATATATTCTAAATAATTTGTTATAAATTGGACGTTATAATAAAAAAAAAAACTCATTCAACTGAAGTTTAGCAAATAAAAAAAACCATTCAACTTAAAAATGAAAAAAAAAAGTATCATTGATGCGATTTTCGATTGCTCTGTAACACGAACGTATGTTCCCACGTTTCGAGACAAGCTCGTTCTCCTGAGT